ATACCAGCTTTTTAAAATAGTTTAAATGCCTGTCTCTACCTGTTTAGCTCTTATGACCCCCACATTCTTTCTTATTATCTGAAATCTTGAATCTTTTAATAATCACCTAATTCATTTTCCTACCACTAGCCTCATTCTTAATTGTGCCTCACTCAGCCAGTAGAATAATTGTTATTGTTTCTAACACTTGTTGGTTCCAAAACGTTTATTTTCCCATCAGCTCTTAACCATACCATGCTCTGCAACAAAACACGCCACAATTTTTACCGTCATACAGTAGTAAGCATTTAATCTTGCTGGAATGGGCTGTTTTCACCTGAGACTGAATTGAGGTTGGCTAACCTAGACAGAGACTTACTCTAAGCTGCATCTTTGGTTCAGTTTTGCTCCATGTGCCTCCCATTCTCCTTGGACCAGTGGTTTAGCTGGGTCAAGGATATACAAAATTTTGTCTCTTTTAGCTCATGCTATTATCCTGACCTACAAATGGCCTCCTTCAGACGGTATTTTTTCTTTAATTATTTTTACATTTTTATTGGTATGTATTAGTTGTACAAAGGGGTTTCGTTGTGATATTTCTATATCACGATGAAATACAATGTGCTTTGATCAAATTCAGCCCCTCTATTATTATTCCTCTTCTCTCCCCACTTTAAAAATTTAAAAATTAAGTACTTTGACCATATTCACCCTCCTTTTCACCTTCTCCTTTTGCCCTCTCCTCCCTCCAACTGGTACCCACCCCCAAAAGACCCTGTTTTACAAAAAATTCCTGTCATTTAGTTTTGTTTAGCAGGGGCTTCTTTTTTTAATTCTTTTTTTATTATTCATATGTGCATACAATGCTTGGGTCATTTCTCCCCCCTGCCTCCACCCCCTCCCTTACCACCCACTCCGCCCCCTCCCTCCCCCCCAGCAGGAAGGGCTTCTTTTTAAAAATTTTTTGGCAGTTCTAGGGTTTGAACTCAGGACCGCATGCTTTCTAGGCAGGTGCTCTACTGTTTGAGCCACTCCAGCAGTCCCCTGTCATTCACTTTTAAGGATTAGATTCCACATAAGAGAAAGAAGGTTTCTGTCAGTTTGTCTTATTTCACTTAACATGATTTGCTCTAATTTCATCCATTTTCCTGCAAACAGTGTAATTTCATTCTTGATATGACTGAATAATACTTCATTATCTATATATACCATGTTTTCTTTATCCATTGATCAGTTGGTGAGCACCTAGGCTGATTCCATATTTTGACTGTTGTGAATAGTGCTGCTATAAAAATGGATGTGTAGGTATCTCCTTCAGATATATGCCTAGGAGTGGATAGCAGGATCATATGGTGTTCTATCCTTAGTTCTTTGATTCCTGTAGTGGCTGCACTGATTCACATTCCCACTAACAGTGTTCCTTTTCCCCACATCCTTACCAGCATTTGTTGTTTTTTGTTTTCTTTTTATTTTTTAATTCACATATATTGATACGATAATACAAGAGGACTTCATTGAGATAATTCCAGACAAGCATATAGTGTACTTTGAACAAGTTCACCCCCTCTTATCTCCCCTTGTTTGTTTTCTTGATGGGCATTCTGACTGGGGTGAAGTGGAATTTCAGTGTTGTTTTTGCCTTTCCTTTATGTCTAAGGATGTTGAAAATTTCTTCATCAGCCATTTGTGCTTCCTGAGAAAAGTGTCTGTTCAGTTCACTTGCCCATTTATTAATTGGATTCTTGGTACTTTTAATGTTTAATTTTTTGAGCTCTTTATATATTCTGGATACTGATCCTTTATCTGATGAATAACTGGCATTTTTCTCCCATTCTGTAGGCTTTTTTCCCTCCCCTCCCCTTCTCTCCCCTGTGACCTTGATAAATTACTAGTTCTAATATTTCCCTGTAGTCATTTGAATTTTTATCTACACAGTCATTCTTTTCTTGACACATGCACACACATACATAGTGTTGGGTACTGTGCTGGGGATCAAATCCAGATCTTTGCACATGCTAAGCACACATTCTACCACTGATCTACACCCCAGCCCTTGCCATGTCTTATTAATTAAGGCTATATAAATGGTCATCCTGTCCTACTTCCTGATCTTATCAAGAAAGCATTCGATATTTTACCAGTAAATTTGGTGTTTTAACTGGTGTTTTTGGGTAGGGTTTCTTTTTCATTATGTTTTTTGGTAGATGGCTTTTATCTGATTTAAGAAGTTCCCGACTTCTCCTGTTTGCTGATTGTTTTATTTCGAGTAAGCGCATTTCATCAGGGGCCTTTTCTGTATCAAGATGAACCAATGATTCTTTTCAGCTTTTTTTCCCAAAATTTTGTAAAATTATTGATTTGTGAATGTTTAACCAACTGTGTACACTTAGGATGAATTCCTTTATATATATTGTTGGACTTAATTTGTTATTTTGTGGAGGATTTTATGTCTGTTTAATGAGGAATATATTGATATGTAATTTTCATTTCTCAAGGTTATTTTAGTATCAAGGTTTTTTCTGGCTTCATAAAATGAATTAAGGAATGATCCCTCTTTATTTTCTAGAAGATCCTTAATACCAGTATTATTTCTTTTTTAAATATTTGACAGAATTCATCAGTGAGACCATCTTAGCCCTAGAGTTTTCTTTCAAGAAAAAATTTAAAATAAGTTTAAGGCATTTAATGTTTTCTTATTGAGTCACTGTTTTGATCAGATACTTCTATGATAATGTCTTCTCTTTCATTCCTGATAATCATACTTTTTTTTTTCCTTTCTTGGTTAGAGCTTATCAGGGCTTCCCCCCTCCCCCCCACCCCCCTCAAAAAAATATTTGCTTTCGGTTTTTTCCTTTTAGTGTTTTTCAGTTTTCTCTTTCATGTGTTTATGCTTTTTTCTGTTTTTCTTTCCACTTAACTTGATCTTCTTTCTGGTTATTTTGATATTTTATTTATTTATTTTGGTAATACTGGGTTTTGGGTTTGCATTTGCAGGGGCTGGTACTGGAGCATGAACTCAGGGTCTTGGGTTTGCTGGACAGGCATTCTAACACTTGAGTGGTGCTTCTAGCCCTTTATGCTTTGGTAGGGTCTTGTGTTTGTGCCTGGGCTGGCATGGACTGGGATCCTTCTATTTGTGCTTCTATAGCTAAGATGACAGGCCTGGCACACACCAACAAGTGCAACTTTATTATTATTTTTTTGGTTGAGATGCAGTCTCAAACTTCTTGCCCAGGCTGGCCTCTAACTGATCACCCAGTGTCTGCCTCCAGAGTAGCTAGGATTACAAGTGTGGAGCCACCATACCTGACTTGCTTTTTAGGTTTTTAAAAGCAGAGGCTTAGATCATTGACTTTTAGATATTTATTGTTATTATGATATAGTATTTTCATATATTTCCCTAAATCCTGTCTTCTAGCTCCAACATCTAGGTCATCCCTGAATTTGACTCTGTAGATTGTTCTATCTCTAGACACTTTTTTGTTTTATTTTTTTGTTTATTTGTTATTTTTGGTATGTTCCATAATTTTTGGTTGTAAGATAGTAGAAGCTGAAGGATATGATTTTAAAGTGTGTAAATAGGTACATCTCTTCAGTCTAGCTGTGAGTGTGGGGATTTAAGTCAGTCTAGTTAAGCATTAAGGTGGGATTGAAGTTTTAATTTGCTCTAGTTAACTTTCATTGCACCACAGGCCTCAAATCCCCAAATGTTGCCTTGGGTTTAGGGCAAAAGTAGAGTGTCACAGGAGTTTTTCTGAATGTTCGTGCCCTTTTGTCACTTTGCCCCCTTTTCACTAGTAAACTGGTGTTGCTTTCTGGCGCTTGCAAAAATGGAGGGAGTGGAAAGGTTCTTTGTAGTGACGTAGCTTTGGTCTCGGGTTGAATATGTGTGCCTGAATCTTAGGATGGGACTTCCCTATGGCAGCCATACTTTGCTTTGGATTTTTTGTGTATCTTGTGTTGAAGTAGTTTTGGGTCATTCTAGATATTTCCAGATATCTTTCTGTTAGTGACTTTTACTTTAATTCTATTGTGGACAGAGAATGTATTTTGTAGACTTTAGATTGCTTTCTGTGGGTTCATTTCTCTTCCCTGTCTCACTATGTGTACTCGAACACTGATCTGGGGGCTTAACTTCCTTGGTTCCTTTCTCGCTTTTTTTTTTTTTTTTCCCCTCATTCTGTGGCCATCCTGGCTTCCCTAACCTTTGACCTATGATTCCTGTCTAGTAAGACTGCTGCTTTCTTCTTGAGCTCATTCCCCACTACTGATTTGGGAGTGAAAAGTGTTTTCTTTATTTTAAAATTATGTCCATGCCTGTTTTTTTGCCAACTTTGGGTTGATCTGTAGTGTTTAGTTGCTTTATTGTAGATGGTATCATCACTTTCTCTAGTCTCTTTTAATTTAGAGATTCATTCCTTTTTGCCCCAATTACCTTCTGTTTTTGAGGCGTCCTAACTAGTGTTATAGAAGTCTCATAATCAGTATTTCTCTGGTTGTTTCCTCATCATGGTGTTTAACTTGTTTGTCTCCCCCTTCTATTTCCTGCAAACTGGAATTTAGATCACGTCTTGATTAAGCACAGGTTAAATCTTTTTTGCTTCATAAATCATGTATTTCACTAATCCAGTAGGGGTGATTATTAGTATGATCACTTGGTTAAGATGGTGCTACCACTATAAAGTATTAGTTATTATTATTGTTTCTTAGGTCCCATTCCCCAATCTGAAGTCGGCATAGTTTTTACTTAATGGTACATATTTCTTACTGGTTGTGGTTACATAAAGAGCTTATAGATTTTAAGGTACTGAATGCAGATACCACACCTCACAAAATCTTTGTGTCTCCCATAGCACTTCACTAGTATTTTGCATATAGTAGGCACTCAGTGATTAGATTTTATATGAAGAGAACAATTAGCTAAGAAATCTCTAAAACCCTTTTCTATTTAAACATTTTTTTACTCTCTTAAATACTGGTTAAATTTAATGTTAATTATATTGCCTTTTTTTTTTTTTTAGGTAAATGAGAAAACGGGACAGATTATACAGTATGATAAATTTTATATCCATGAAGTACAAGAATTGATAGACATAAGGAATGATTATATCAACTGGGTCCAACAGCAGGCCTATGGAATGGTATGTTTCCTGTATATTTTGTGATTTCATTATAATTGTCATTTGTTTTAATACAGAACTTCAAGAGTTTTTGAAATATGGAAGTTTTTCATAGCTTTTATTCAGAGTTTATTTTTTAAGTAAAAGTACATTACATAAATAGCTATATTTATAAGTAGATATTCCCTCTTCTACCAAAGCTAGATTAAAAAAAAAAAACATTACATTTTCTAAAGAAAAATGGAAATGTAGTATGGATTTTCAACTGTCTTTTATTTTCTATGAGGTTGGTTGCCTCTTTTCTCTCATGTTCAGAATACTGGAGTCCATGATATTAGAACTCTTAGGTTATTGTTATGGGATCAGTGCTTCAGAACTCGAAGAGGACCCTAGGACCACTAATTCTGTTTTTTCACTTTTCCCTTTTATGCATTTAATTTTATTTCAGATTGCTATCTCCACATGTGTATATACTTCTTGACATGTGGCTAAGTCTCTAGTAACTAAATACTTAATATCCCATTAAAGTAGTAGCCTAGTCTTACAAATCTGAATTAGGCACATAAAAATTTTAATGCAGAAGCAGGGTGAGGTAGTCCACTCCTGTAATCCCAGCACTTGGGAGACTGAGGCAGGAGTACCATGCCAGCCTAGGCTATGTAGTGAATTCCAGGCCACCCTATGCTACATAGTGAAACCTTACCTCAAAGAAAAAAAAAAAAAGGAAATTGACAAGCAGCAAGATAGAAAGTAGGCTTAATCCTCCTAGTTGTTAGTTATTTTTTTGTAAACTAGAGGTCAACTTTTCTATCCCTAATGTGGATAATTTAATATGTGCCCAGTGGTTACAGAAGACTGTAACTTTTCATTGCTTGGAAGTTGCCTCTGTGTCAGATGCTCTTACCTCCAGGAATTAGGTCTCTTTTAGAACATCACTTTCTTCCCTACCGACTTGGATCTGAACTAGGAGAGACTCATTTTTCTAAAATCACTGAGAGGCCAATCAGTTTTATTGCCATTGCAAATTAAGATCTATTCATTTGCTCATTTTACTCATTCAGCAAATACTTCTGGAGGCCTGTAATCCCAGCATTCAGTGAAACTGAGGCAGAGGGGGACCATGAGTTTGAAACAAGCCTGGGATACATAGAACCTGTCTCCAAAAGAAAAGAATAAATAAACAAGCAAACAGTAACAAAAAGCCTGCCCCAACAAATACAGAGACTCTGCTATATAAGGCACTGATTTAGGTATTGGAAGTACAGTGGCAGACCAGACTTGGAAGGGCCCAGTTACATGCAGGACTTACAGTCTACTGGGCAAAATTGTCACTATTCAAAGCAAAAAATGCCAGCTGATAATATGTAATATATAGGTAATTAAAATAAAAGTGGGGTTTTTTTTTGTGAGTGAGTAATCAGAAAATACTTGTTTGATGAAGTATGAGCAGCAGCCCTGAAAGATCACATCAGGGAGAATTTCTAGAAAAATGAGCATCTAGCAAATCAGACAAACAAAAAAAAGCTTAGCTGCAAACAACCTCCGCATGTTTGAAGGTTATAAAAAGACCATATAAGGCTAAAGTATGGGAATGGGGAGGGATCATAGAATGGGCAGAGACCAGATCACAGAGAGTTTAGTAAATTGGGATTAGGAATCTGAATTTTATCTGAAATATTATGATATACTATTGGTGGGTGGTAATCAGTGGAAAGAACTGAATAATCTCTTTGTTGGCTGTGAAAACAGGATGGAGGAAATGGGACAAAAACGAAAGAGGGAAACCAGTGAGAAGGCTATGTTAGTAGATTATGGAGGAAAAATGGATGAGTTTGACTAAAATAGCAATTGTGTAGATGGATGAAGGAATAGATTTGGAATAGTTGGGGATTAAAAGAAGGATAAAATCACTGGTGGGCTGGATATGAGGAGAGGAAAGGAGAGAGATCCACAAAGGGGTAGCAGGTAAGATCGGAAGAAAACTATGAGAGTGTGGTAGAAAACAAAATTAAAAAGTGAAGGAAAGGGCTGGAGACTTGGTTCAAGTGGTAGAGTTCACCTAGCAAATGTGAAGCCCTGAGTTCAAACTTGAGTCACACACACAAAAACAAAAAGTGAATGAGAGCAGGTATCTTAATACATACCTGTAATCCCAGCTACTTAGCAGGTGGAGGCAGAAGGTCTCAAATTTGAGGCCAGCCTGGGCTTGAAACTTGCGTACTCAAAAAGAATAAGTACACAGAGTGGCTCAAGTGGTAGAGCACCAGCCTAGCAACCCCCAATAAAGCAATAGATGGATACATAGATGGGTGGGTGGGTAGGCAGGCAGGCAGGTAGGTAGACAGACAGATAGATAGGCGGGCAGATACATAGGCAGGCAGGATAGGAGGGGAGCATTTGTGACGTGATAGAGTACATCTGAAACAGAAGGATCTCAAGTTTAAGGCCAGCCTAAACTACATTAGAATAAGAGGTGAGTCTGGGCTACATACAGCTATCCTGTCTTTTTTTTTTTTTTTTTTTCTTGGTTTCTGCATTGATTTTTAATCTTTTTGGAACTTTATTTTTTTTTTTTCATTTTTCTTTTATTATTCATATGTGCATACAAGGATTGGTTAATTTCTCCCCACTGCCCCCACCCCCTCCCTTACCACCCACTCCACCCCCTCCCTCTCCCCCCCCCAATACCCAGCAGAAACTATTTTGCCCTTATTTCTAATTTTGTTGTAGAGAGAGTATAAGCAATAATAGGAAGGAACAAGGGGTTTTGCTGGTTGAGATAAGGATAGCTATACAGGGCATTGACTCACATTGATTTCCTGTGCGTGGGTGTTACCTTCTAGGTTAATTCTTTTTGATCTAACCTTTTCTCTAGTACCTGTTCCCCTTTTCCTATTGGCCTCAGTTGCTTTAAGGTATCTGCTTTAGTTTCTCTGCATTAAGGGCAACAAATGCTAGCTAGTTTTTTAGGTGTCTTACCTATCCTCACCCCTCCCTTGTGTGCTCTCGCTTTTATCATGTGCTCATAGTCCAATCCCCTTGTTGTGTTTGCCCTTGATCTAATGTCCACATATGAGGGAGAACATACGATTTTTGGTTTTTTGAGCCAGGCTAACCTCACTCAGAATGATGTTCTCCAATTCCATCCATTTACCAGCGAATGATAACATTTCGTTCTTCCTTCTTCATGGCTGCATAAAATTCCATTGTGTATAGATACCACATTTTCTTAATCCATTCGTCAGTGGTGGGACATCTTGGCTGTTTCCATAACTTGGCTATTGTGAATAGTGCCGCAATAAACATGGATGTGCAGGTGCCTCTGGAGTAACAGTCTTTTGGGTATATCCCCAACAGCTATCCTGTCTTAAACAAACAAAATGACTAGAGATATAGTTCAGTTGTAGAGCACTTTTTTTTTTTTTTTGAATGGTGCTGGGGATCAAATCCATGGCCTTGCACATGCTAGTCAATGCTCTACCACTAAGCTACATCCCAAGCCTAGGGGTATTTTTTTAAGCAAGAAAGTAATTGACTTCAGGAAGATTTTTAATAAATACTCCTTTTTTCTTCTCTGTTTGAACCAAATCTCTTGAGTTAGTAAAAACTTCTCAAATTCTTTCTCCAGGGTACTTCTAAGAGGAGGAAAAATAACCTATTTCTTGAGTTTTTTAACCTTCCCTCAGCAAAATTTGGGGCCAATGTGTAGGAGTGGTAGTACTTATACTCTATTTTGAATATGTGTAAATTTGCATTCTACTGGACACAATTGCAGTGTAAAACAAACTTAATTTATTTACCATTAAGGAAAATTTATGAAACTAATGCACCATCTAGGGTGTTTAGTCTTTTGAACAGTGTTTTTGAAACTAGTGTGATAGAACTGTTTTTATTTTTTATTTTATTTTATTTTAATTCATATGTGCATACAATGTTTGGGTCATTTTTCCCCCTTTCCCCCACCCCCTCCCAGAATTCCTTCCCCAAGTTTATAGTTATAAATAACACCATAAATTTAAGAATCAAGATAATATTGATATGGAGGATGATTTATATTCTGACCACTAGGAATCCCACTAGGAATGTGGTAAGGAAGCATAAAAGCGTGCCTCGGCTGAGGCCAGGCTTGGTGGTAACAGGCCTGTAATTCTAGTACTGTCAAGGCAGAGGCAGGAGGATATATGTTCATGCCAACTTTGCTATATTGTGAAACCTTATCTTAGAAAACAAAAAACAACAACAAAAAAGCTAAGCATTTATTCAACTCTGTGTCCTTGGGAAGATAATATCTCTGATAATTCATTTTATTTTTTATAAAGTAGGGTAATAGTAGTACTTATTCCTACCTTACACAAGTTATTGAGCTTAATTGATACTGTCCATGTGAAGTACAGAGTACTTCTGGTCCATAGTGGCAGTCTTGACACAGGATCTAAGTTTGGCAGTAGCTTTTTTTTTGAGTGGGGGTTGGCTGGGGTTTGAACTCAGGGCTTTGCACTTGCAAAGCAGGCACTCTACCACTTGAACCATATCACCAGTTCCATTTTGCTCTGGTTATTTTGGAGATGGAGTTTCTCAAAGTATTTGACTAGGCTGGCTGGCCTTGAACTGAGATACTCCCAATCTCAGCCTTCCAAGTAGCTAAGATTATAGGCGTGAGCTACTGGTGCCTGGTAGCAATAGCCTTTTTTGAGGTGTCTTATAACTATTCTGCTGCCTTTATCTGCACTATAATGAAACAATTGCTTTTTGAAGGAGATGTGATACTCATTCAGCCTCCACTCATTGAACACATCGTTTTAAATATGAATTTACAGAGATCCTGATTGGTGTCAGTTTGGCTTTAATCAGAACCATTGTAGACTTTGGGAGTTTCATGGCAATACTGGAATTACAAATGAATTATCCTAATTTTAGGTTTTATTAAAATTAGTCTTTGTTATCATTCATACAAAAACAATAAACTTAAAATTCTCCCAGGGTACCCATAGATCGCTTAAGACTATATCCCCTGGGGATCT